GCTCGGCCATTGTTTGGGTCATGCGGGAGGACAGGTAAGATGGGCGCCGTGCTCTCGGGACGTTAGAGTGAGAAATGTGAGCAGATGTCGTGGGGACGGTCTGGTGATCAGAACCGATGCGGCGATGGCCGACAACATGCGGGTTTAGCAGCGGCGTCTGCCAGCCAGTCGACATGAGACACCTACAGGATGAAAAATGAAGTAATATTTCATCAATTCGCTCATAATGCAATGTTAGTAACGACGACCGTACACATAAATTGCGCGAGCATATACCATAGATAGATGTGCAATATATTATCATATGATATATATATATACATACACACACAGGCGCACACAGGCATACACTCACGCACACGCACACCCGCATTGCACACGCACAACACGCCACGCACACGCCACGCACACGCACACGCACACGACACGCACACGCACACGCACACGCACACCGCACACGCACACGCACACGCACACGCACCACGCACACACACGCACACACACACATATATATATATATATATATAAATATGTATACACACAGAAGTATATAAATTGTACATTATAATACATAGGACAAGAAATCTAGAGGAATGAATGTCATCATAATACTTGCTGTTAAAAACAACATGGCAATTGTTTGCGAGAACCTAAGAAGACGAACATGCAGTAGGAGGAACTAAGAGGAACAACATTGTTCCATAGCTGAATTAGTGAACTGTAACACTTGCCCATGAACACTACTACAGCTGGTGAACAGCAGTAAATCATCTAGACATTAACGATGCAACACTAATTAACGATGCAACACGATAAAACTCAAAGCTATAAAACTAAAGTTAACATGATGATAGCTAACACTATAAAAATTAACGCTGTTAAAGTTAACACTAAAGCTAAAACTTTAAAGGCAATAACAGTTAATGCTGTTATTTAACGTTGATGCGCGACATCCGTCGTCTTTTGCCATCAGCGTAAAATAAACTAGCGTAGACCACGACCCCCCAGCGGCAAATGCCCTTGTCAGGACACACTGTGACACGCCCGCCCCTGCCCCTCGCCACGCCCGCGTCCCCGGGGGTGGGGCATGTACCGCTAGGCACCCGCGTCCCCCGCCCCGCGCCACGCCCGCGTCCCCGGGGGTGGGGCATGTACCGCTAGGCACCCTCGCCACGCCCGCACCATGCCTGCGCCGCGCCCGTGCCATGCCCGCATCCCCCGCCCGTGTCCCCGGGGGTGGGGCATGTACCGCTAGGCACCCACTCCAGCGAGGTGCTAGAGGTAAAGGCATCGGAATCGTTGCCGCTGTCGTCGGTCGGCCACTCGGGGGCGCTGCTGTAGCAGTCGGAGCTGGAGGCGGGGCGTGAGCTGTCGTCCGTCACGGCTGATGACGACGACTCAAGCTGAAGGCACCAATAACGACGACGGCTCAATGAAACAGGATAAATCACAACGAAATTACGATCAACCTCCCCATTGAATAAACAATACATAATGATACAATACGTAATAATCCAGTAAACATTACTAATTAAACAAATACAATAACAAAACAATACTAATCAAACAAATACAATAACAAAACAATATCAATCAAACAAAAACAAAAACAAAAAAACGTTTAAATAAAAATGTTTAAAAAAGCAAACATTATAGATGGCAGCACTCACGCGGTTGATGGCGGTGAGGCCCGTGCGGCGCGCCATCTTCATGCGGTGTTTCTCGGCCAGCTGCTGCATCGTGCGCAGCGACGAGCCGCGCGTCGGCACAGACGGTGGCGACCTCTTCCCCGCCGCGTCGCCATCGCCCACCGGTCTCATCGGCAGCAGCCGCTGACTGCCCCACCTGGTGGCGGGCGCGGCGGTGGCGTCGGCGTCGATGCCGCGCTGCACGCGACCCCGCACAGGGCTGACAACGCCGGCCGTAACCGTGACGAGGTCCGCCTGCTGATCATCACCTCCCCCAACGCGCTTCACCGCCGATACGTCGGTGCTGCCACCTGCGGGGCAAAACGAGATGAAATGGGATCGACGAGACGTGCATATTTTTTTCTTATTTTTGTACAGTATTATATATATATATACATGGACATGTAATTAGTGGTAGGGTTTAGTATTTTGCGTGCACGCGCTACTTGATCGATAAAAGCATTAATTTCGTTTATACTCTAAACGCAATGCGATAAAACGCAAACACGAACACACTCACGCTCACACTATCCCGTTTCTTCCCCTTTCTCCCGCACAGGAAATCCTGCTGGTCAACGTGAGGGCAGAACCTGTGATATTCCTGAGGGAGGACGACGACATGGTTCCCTTCTCCCTGCACGATCCGGCTGCACTTCCCCGGGGAGGTCTGGAGAGCCGCTCCATATCCGGTCTGGAAGCCGGAAACCACGAGGTCAAAATAAGGAAGGAGGTACGTGGCCAGGAACACAGCGAATTAACGTCTGTTATCTGATGTGATCTGTTCTAATCTGTTCTAATCAAATTTTATCGAAATCTATAAATAGAGAAAGATCACGCGCGCACAGGCACACGCGCACGCACGCACGCACACTCTCTCCCATTTCTCTCTCTCTCTCTCTCTCTCTCCCTCTCTCTCTCTCGCGCTCTCTCTCTCTCTCGCTCTCTCTCTCTCTCTCTCTCTCTCGCGCTCTCTCTCTCTCTCGCTCTCTCTCTCTCTCTCTCTCTCTCGCGCTCTCTCTCTCTCTCTCTCT